GCTGTATGAAATTTGTTTCTTGAATATTTTTTCTTCTCTTGTACAATATTCCAACATCCTACCAGTATTTGTCTTACAGGTTATTATTCTGTTCTGTATAATAGTTATCTAATGTTGGCAAAAATGAATTTTTGAAGTATACAGAGTGTTATGGACTTTGAAATTTGTGGAAATAAATTTAGAAAATCAGCATTTACAAATAAAATATTTTACATCTATAAATATTTTAACATTTTCCTTTATGTCAGGATGCAGCAATCCTGAATATATTATTTCCAGGGATAGACCAAAGAGGCTGTTTTTGCCATCAAGAAGATACCTTAAGATAGCTCAGTGCTATACCCAAAACCCAATTCTACCAAAACAGATGCATATGTAATATAAAAGTATAGAAAACATAACTGCGCAAATTATGTTTTATGCATAACATAATTTAATAAATGATCATGCTAGTAGTTCCAGTTAATTTTTTTCCATTTGGACATCCTTAATAATTATAGAACCTGCTCTTTTCTTTGGAATTAAAAAAGCCTATTTAAGATTATTGTAGCCCTCTCTTTCCCAAAGCTTTTGATTATATCATATGAACAATTGATTCTGCACACTTAATTGGGTAACAGAGGATTAGGAAGAGTTTTCTACCACCAACAGACTGGTTGGTTTCATTAAATTAAAACAAAAAAGATAGTTACAAAAGTTAAAATCATAAATGGCATAAGGTACTCAAGCATTTAATGTACACCAGAAACCAAAGGGACAGTGGCTAATATGTCAATAACACCTAGTGTTAATAATAAAAAATGCAATACAAAATACATAAAAATGGGTATTTGTTGTCTCTCCGTGATATTGCAAAGATAAATATTTTCCTAGACATACTTTAATGTGCTGCCTGATTTTAAGGAGGAATATCACAACCTTAACTAGAAACTAATCCCATTCATAATCCTTAATGTGAGCCTTAAACCTTGCACTGCATAAATTAAGGGCCAGATTTATTAATGAAAGTCCAGTATCAAACTCAAGCTTCTCACAAATATTTATGTGTATCAATAACTTGTAAAATATAAAAGGATCTGGGTTTTTTTAACTTCTTCACAAATGGGGTGAAACTGAGTATGGTAAAAATCAAGCAATGTACAGGTAAGTTCCACAATTTACAATCATCACTTAGCAACCGTCTGAAGTTACAACCGATCCAAAAGCGATTTATGACCTGGATTCGAAATTCTGATGATGGAAGTTTATTCCTTCACAGTCACCTCTCCAAAATCTGGGCACTTTTCAACATGGTTCCATTTATGGCCATCTGCAGCATCCCACAATCATTGACCATGTTTTACTATTGTTTTGCCAAAAACTGACATTTACATCAGATTTTGAGGAAAAATGTATCCATAGGGAACCACTGGTTTGCTTAACAATTGCTGCAAAAAATTGTAAAATCATTTTACAACTGTTACAACATAAACCCATAATAGACAGTCTCTATTATAGTCTCATATCAAGGCCTATCTGTAGACTTCTTTTAAAATGGTGTTTTGTACTGTGGCATTCAAAACTGCCTTGCAAGAATAGAAAGGTTATGCCACCTGCCATTGCACCTCGTTTATCAATCATCCTCATGCAGAATTTCTCAAGGTTTAAGATGTCTGCATTTCAACTCCCAGAATTCCCTACTTGAGGAATTCTAGGAATCAAAGTCCAGGCTGTTTCAATGCTGCAACTCCCACACAGTTGCCTTTGGGCTTTCTGGCAAACATGGGAGCCTTGGTTGGCGGGGTGGGGGTGTGGAAGTGTAGCATTGGGGGCTGCATTGAAGCAGGCAAGTGCTACATGGTCTTCGGAATCATGAAAATGGCGTCCATATTCAAATATAGGAATGACAAATGGACATTTGATTAGGTTAAAATTAATGCAATTATTTACAAAAAAGAGCTAAAACATACTTTTCTCCAGAATTCCAACCATGAAATGAAATGAAAAAAGTACCATAATATTTCTAAAAGAAATACTGGCAAAACACGGTAGGTTTCTGACAGACCACTTAGGCCGGCTTCATTAGATGCATCCACTAATTAAATTACGTTGTCCTAATTATGACTTAGAATATTTCCTTATACCGTTGGGCTCCCAAGGAATGTCATCACACTTTTTACTCCTGCAGAAAGGAGGGGCAAGAAATGCAGCCACTTCTACTCCACTTGAAGATTGCCATCCATTGTGATTTCTAACCTTCATTAAAATAGTTTCCTTTAAGTGTTATGGGATAGAAATAGCAGCAAGGATTGCCAGCCTTAGAAAATAATGCACTAAGCCAAGAGTCCTTGCACAAGTGGGCATTCCTTGAGGAGGTTTTCAATTCTCCAAGCGCCACTGCTGAAGGGAGGAGCCATCGCATATGGCCATAGTGATGTAGCCTTTGAGATTAAGTGGGTCAACCACCTTCATGCACTGTCCAACAGATACCTGATACAGCCGGTTGTTTTTCTGCAGAAAGAAATATAGCAGGTGAGATAAAACGGTTCCAAACCTATTTTTGCAGCCACATTGTTCCTTTTGGCAGGCTGATGGGGTTACTTAGATGCTCCCGTGCCAGCTCTGCCTTTAATAGCAATAGTAACAGCAATAACACTTAGAAAACACAGCACTCTCTGGGTAGTTAATAATGTACGCATTATTTGAATATTGCCCCCAACAATTTGGGTCTTCATTTTACCGACCTCGGAAGGATGAAGGCTGAATCAAACTTGAGACCGCCAGGATACACCACTCATGTAAACCTACCTATCTAGCCGTGAAAGACGCAGTTTTGATTAACAGTACTTTCATTCCTCCACAAATAGTTTTTTGTTTCTATAAATGTATTAGTCACCAATAAAATTAAAATACTTTATGATAACTGCCACTTCCCAATTCCAGATTTAGATCATGACCACTCTACTAATGAATTAAGGCTAGGTATTTTGGCACTATCCTATTCCTAACAGGTTTTAGCAGGCACCAGGTTAGAAGGCAGGAGACGGTGAGTTCTAGTCCCACCTTAGGTATGAAAGCCAGCTGGGCAATTTTGGGACCAGTGCCTTTCTCAGCCTAAATCACCTCACAGGGTTCTTGGGTGGGGAAAATAGAAGGAGAATGATGAGCCTTGGTGGCGCAGTGGATTGAGTGCAGTACTGCAGGCTATTTCTGCTGATGTCGGATGCCTGCAATTTGGCAGTTCAAATCCCACCAGCTCAAGGTTAACTCAGCCTTTCATCCTTCCAAGGTTGGTAAAATGAGGACCCAAATTGTTGGGGACAATATGCTGAGGTCGTATTCAGCAGGTTCTGACCAGTTCGGGAGAGCCAATAGTAGAAATTTTGAATAGTTTGAAGGACCAGCAAATACCACCTCTGACTGGCCTCACCCCCATCTCTTCTCTACCTCCCACTGAATCTCAGCTGATTGGCTGGGTCTTCTTTGGTTGCCCTGCACAGGAGAACAGAGCTGGAAAACAGGTTAGTGGGATGGGGAGGAAATGGGGATTTTGCAGTATCCCTCCCCTGCTACTCCCCCCAAGCCACGCCCACCAAGCCACGCCCACAGAACCAGTAGTAAAAAAATTTGAATTCCACCACTGATGCTGACTCTGTAAACCGTTTACAGAGAGTTGTAAAGCACTGTAAAGAGGTATATAAATCTAAGTGCTATTGCTGTTGCTAAGGTAATAAGGGTGGGATAAATAAATAAATAAATCATACTGAAAGGCAAGGATTTAAGCTTTCAAAACTATCTAACTGGTCAAAACCATTTTTGTCCATGTGGCATATTCCTAATTGGAGGCCTTGCCTTATGAAAGATCCACGGCCAGTAAGGTTAACCTTTCTCATCTATATCTAGTTTTCACAATAATCTATGTAAACAGGAACTCATCCATGCACAAAGAACCAATTCTCAAGCTTATATAAACTTTAACAATCTTTAGCCGGAGTTACACTAGAACGAAATTCGTCCTGGCCAAATTCACTTACTCCAAGTAGCCACTGCTGAGAGCCTCCTGACCCATGACATTTCATAAGGCGTGGTGGATCGGAGGTGCGTGTTTCAGATACATCCAAACACAAGAGGTTATTTAAGATTAATTCATGATCCTCGTTGTATAGCCATACCTACAAAATTAATTATGAATATTTTAGGATCACTAGGAACCTATGTTTGAGAATGGTTTAATCACAAAGGGGAGAAAACTACATACACTTCTCTTTCATTGTGTCAGTATCACCTGCGTATGTTTCCCACCCTAGAGCAAAACTATTTCTTACTGCAGGGAATATTATTTAAGATGACGTGCTGTTGATTAGCCAAGGAAGTTATGAAATTAACAAACCAACCAAATCACTTCTGCTCGTATGACCCTTTCCAGCCATCCAGATGGAACAGCAAGAAAAATTTTCATATAGAAATAGCTGCACTGAGAGAGGAGCAAGTGAATTAGCTCGATCGGCAGGTTCATGTTTCCAAGCTGATACATTTTGCTGTTAATTAATAAAATTAGCTGAATTTACGGACGTTAACACTGAATGAAAAGGCACCTAAAAGTTGCATATATACCAAACAAATAAAAGTTTCCTATTAATTTTGCTTCTGTTTGGATGATTTCAAAAGACCCCCCTACCCTTTTTGTTTCCATCTGTCTGTTCTACAGGCACATTTCCAATCTGCTAAAGAGAGAAGACGGCAAGGAAGTAA